ACTACTTTGAAATTTTCATTTTATATATAGCTACAAAATCACTAATAATATTATTTTAAATTATTGTAATTATTTTTATGCATAGATTCAAATCAAGTTTCAAAACTTTTATTACATTATTTAAAATCATTTTTTAGTTACACTTACAACTTTATTTCACAAAATTAGAAGGAACTGACTTTTTAGGGTTGTAATTTGCCTCATCATCACTGTAAAATTAAAAAAAAACATATTTTATAAAAGAATTATTAGAAAATATATTAAATTATGTATGGTAAATATCTAACCAAGAGATGTAGTTTAGTTGCTTTGATTGTTGGTCTCTCCCTTTCCTCTATCATTGTAAAACTAAAAAGTATTTTTGTTTTCCAATTATTAATTATTTATAAAATATGTTAATACGTTTTTTTATATTTTGCACTGATGTCGAGACAAATCACGAACTGGAGCCATCTGTTATTTATAACATTTTTTAAATAAATGTTGTGCAAAAATATAGAGGATATAGTGTGCTCTGATTTATATAATAAAAATTTGCACATTTATAATAGAAAATGTATGAATATATTAACTTATAATTTTTGCTTTTTAAGAACATCGGTTTCTATTCACAAAATTACCTTCCACTGCAATTTTCACAATATTAACTGAAACCGTGCACACATCCATAGGTGGGAATAATTCGCACTATGCAAAATCACATTTCTGCACAAAATCTATTTATTTGGCACGAAACATTTAAAACTTTCAATGGTTTTCCTCTCCAATGTGCATTAGATAAAAGTAATCGTTTCAAAACATAAGTGAAACGCAAAGTTTTCATATAGGTTATTCTACTCACCTGTGTTTATAAATATCAGCGAGAGATCTGGGGGAAAATTTTCGTTAGATTAAATATATGTTATGTATTCGTAATAAATCTTTATATAAGTATTCAAGAACTATTATATATAGATATCAGATAAATAAGTATAAATGTAGGGACACATAAATGTGTGTATATCTCTCATAGCTCTCAAATCGATTTTGCAGTTTTTCGAAAATAGATAAAATAGCACATTTTCTATAATATAATGTAAAATTTTGTTATCAGAAATTAATTCTAAAAAGTCACATAGTATTAATGTACTCATTGTTGTTATCAACATTAAAACTCTAGTAAATCCTGTTGGTCTTAAGACTAAAGATATTTCAGATGTTTTAAATCTTTCATGTATAGTTATTAATATTATCAATAAAAATAAATAAATGCAGTAAAAATATTCATCAATTACAGAGAAAATTATTAGAGTTTTAATTATAAATTGAATTTGATACAGTTTTTATACAAAAAATCTACATCAACTCTTCTATTAAAACATTTGCATCAACGCACCCGATCACCTGGTTTCCAAAACACAAAATATAAGAGGGGTAACTTTTCTGTTAATTTACCCATATAGGTGAGCACATATGTAGACTTATATGATATAGAAAAATACTGGCGAGTAATTGGAAATGAAATGTTTTTTAAACATTACTTGAATATATGGAACTTATCCAATAAAAATATTAAACATTAAAAATATCAAACGTAAATACTAAACAATTATTAAATTTAAGCCATATAATTGAATTTAATCTATAAAATAAAAATAACGAATTAATAACATAATTATTCATTTGTAATGGTTTCGACACTAAATGTGTGTCATCATCCAGCAGGAAAAATAATTCCAAAATATACAATTTAAAAGTCAAAATTAAACATAAATTTTTATGCTATTTAAAATAAAATATGCAAATAAAGGCAGTAATTTTATTGAAATGATTCCAAGAAAAATACAATGCTCAAAGATTAATCTTCATATGATACAATTTATAAAAACAAGGTTTTATAACACGAAGATTTAAATAATAATTTTCAATCGCGCTAATGTACCAACATATTATATTTAACAAATTTGTAACTATTTGCAAAATACAATTGAAACATACGTACAGAAATAATATATTACAGAAATAATATATTACACTCTAATATTGCACTAACATACAAAAAGATTGCTATAAATATATATATATATATATATATATATATATATATATAAATTTTATAATCATAAGTTAACTTTAAAAGCTAAGCACTATATTTAACAATTATTATTTCCGTTTAAGTCGTCTCGTATGATGGTCCCTTCACTTCAGCATTTTAAATTTTAAATTATTTATATAATAAATCCTTTGGTAATTCAAATAACAAACAAAAAATTTACTTTTGCAAATAATATAAATAAAATTTAATGGAAAGAACAGACGAATGAAACACGCCCATAAAAAAAATTACAAAAAAAGTATTTAAATTTTTTAATGTTTCTGCTAAAAAAAACTTTACAAATAATACGTTATTATAGATGCAGTTGAAAAATAATAATAGATATTTGTTTACAAAACTGAACTGCTAATTTTCGATCAATATTGCTTTTTCATTTTATGGAAGAATATCTCACACAATCTTGGAAATTATAATTAGTTACAAATAAAATAAAAAATTTGTATACAAATAACAAAAATAAAATCTCAAATAATCGGTAAAAAAAGCAACAAAGCCAAAATATTTAGTACGCCTTAAACAAATTTTAAATAAATATTAATTATTATGACGTTTAAAATAGAAAACGTCTATGACATATGAGTAATAAATATATGGAGTACGAATGCATTAACTAGAAATTAATTTCTTTGTAGTCTTGTCTAAACTATTTTTATCTTAATAAAACTATCTGAGCTAACTAATTGCATTATAAAAGAGAATTTTAGTATTAATACTAATAATTAACACATCTGAATATTAGTTACAACATATTTTTAACAATGATTTCGACAATCAATATCTTATTTTATGTAGGTAATATGCCAAAAATCAGCACATATTTTTTTAAATTACTTTCGGTCAGTTCGAATTAAATATCTATTGTAAAAAATAGCATAAATGAAGTTTTAATAAAATGTAGATATCGATTATCGATAATTATAAATATCGGTTTACTTAAGTAGCAAAAACTAGATTTAAGAGTTAATTAAAATAGTACCTTGCTATTTTTGTATCCTACTCTCTTCAATATATTTTAGATATGATATTCACAAAATATGCATTATTAATTATTGATTTATAAATATTATTTAGAATAATTAATAAAGCACTACACCTAAGCTCTAAGCAGTCAGATATTGTACACCTAGACCAAAACTATCAATCTTCAAAAAGTTACTTTGTTTAAAAAATTACAATCTGAAATCGCGCAAATAACATATGTATTAATAATAAAAAACAGAAATCGCCAATAAGAAAAAATAATAAAATAATCAAATTATCTTTTAGATAAAAAATAATGTGTCACCATATTATATTGCATCCATGTACTCACTTATTTTTATTTAAGTAATTTCAATTTCTATTTTATTTAGCGTTTGAATTTTAGGAATCAAAAGACTTTTAGTTGTCCGGTTGGTCAGCTTTATTTAAATTTCGCATAGTTTTGATTTTTTGACTTGATTATATTTTGATCTAGATATCCGATATGTGTGTACATTTATATAGAATAGCCTATAAATATATATTAATATCACTAGCCATTTTACCATGTGCCATATGAACAACATCTGTATTCATAAAAAGAAACAACATCTACGTAGGAAGCCACTTTGCAGAAATACATGTAGTTAAACAATTAATTACTATCTCACATAAAATCTTTGATTAAAATTATTTTGATTAAATTCTATGTTGCGACAAATATTTATCGCCCGATAAAAAAAAATGAATAAAATATTAATTATTAACACATACTCATGTGCCGTAGATATTACATTCTCTAAAAACAGATATTAGGTTGTCAAATATCTCCCTTCCGCTTTTTTGCTCTTGGTTTATAATACAAAAAAGCGGAAGGGAGATATTTGACAACCTAATATTAGTTCAAAACTAATCTAGGTTTAATTAAGTATGAATACTCCTATTCATGTAATAAAATCTTGACGGTAGTATATATTATTATATCATCTGAGACAGATTTCTATATTATAAATATAGATTTCATATAAATAAATAATTACTAATTATAAATTCACTGGTATCAATGAAGAAAATCGTTCATAAAAATCGTTTACATACTAAATGTGTTATATACACATATTTAATTAGGTTTATGTATATTGTCAAAGAAAGTATATGTAATAACTTCGACTTCTATTTATATTAGTTTTTTTTTTCATTATACTATCTTTATTAATTGGCATGTGCACCACTTACAAAAAAAATATATATAATTATATATTTAAAACACAAATATTATTTTTAATAAAAAATACTTAAATAATCCTGTTCATGATACAGGTAAAATGTATATTATCCATCAGATATGATTTGATTAAAATTGTTTTAAATATATAAAATCTACTAAATTAAAATTTGTTGAATAAAACAGTCTAAAATAAGTTAATTAAATATTGTACACCTTTGAATTTGAAAAAAATAAATAATCAATATTAAATATTGAAAAATCTAGATCTAATAATTTACTAATATATTATTAAAGACTAATATATTATTAAAGACTAATATATTATTAAAAATGTACCATAAAATTCAGTTGAGTCATTAATTGATTTAGTAATAATGTATCATTCAATAAATATTTGTATAATTGTTATAATTGCTATTATTTGCAATATATTTTTGACACAACTTCTGCCTTGTGTACGGCATGCTTTACAGTTGAATAAAAGATTTACTTTAAAAATCTTGCCAAGCATTACAATAGAGAAACTATTTGGTTTATAACTCGGAAGTATAGTTATAATGAAAGCTGTGAACTCCTTTTTCAACAAAACATTTTAATTTCTCTTAAAATAATACGGACTAACAAATAAGTTTAACCTCTCGAAACCAACTTCCAAAATAATGTAGATTTCAATTTAATGACTAACCAAATTAGATACATTACTCTACTATTGTCCCCGAAACTTTCTTTCTAACTAGTACCGTAACGTGTGCTTTCAAACATACCTTTTCTGAAGAAGTCACTAAATTCCAGCAAACAAAGCTTGGTCAATTGTTGCCCCCTGCAGGCGTGCAGGGGACATTCCGGCATTTCGGAGCAGACCTCGATAAGACGCTGAAGATAGGTGTCTAATTCAGACCGACGCGTACGCGCTGTTTCATCGGAGCAGGACGAAGAAAATAGGTGTCGAGGCGGAAAACTAAGCTCAGCCACCTGGAAACAAAAAATGAATAAGGCACAAAATATATTAAGCTAGTTGAAAGTGGCATTAAGCTTTAAGGCAAGTAGCATGAGCTTCCCGAAAGGGATCGTTCAAGTATTACGTAAGCAGATTTAGTACAATTATTTACCCCCCCCCCCCCATCCCTCTTTATCAGAAAAGTAAGCCAATCTGTCACCAAAATGTCCCCAAAATAAGAAATCAATGACCCTATAGTGCTTACGTAATACTTGAACGGCCCCAAATGTGTAAGAATTGACTTATTCAATCGAAATTGAAATTTAGATATTTAAATAAAATTTTCAACTGTTTATTTCAAAAATAAAATTATCGCTTTCAAATAATTCTAAACATTGCGATTTCGAATAGAATTTTCTCAAACACATTTAAATTAACTGAAATTATATTAATTATATAAGCAACTTTTGACATAAATTTTGACTATAAGATTTTCTCAAACTTTGATGAATTTTCAACATTAAACTATTTGTCGTAGGTCCGTGACATTTTAGTATCTTTTATAAGACTATTATATCTATTACCAAAAAAGGTTCATAAAAATCTACATTTTTTTTCAACAGTTAATTTCAAGAAAACGGCTCGGTAGATTTTTACCTAAAACTAATCAGTATCATTACCAACCAATACCTTTCGAAAAGTTTTTGAATTTTAAAATCGATTTTGAATTGAGAGCTAAAAGGTGGACGATTTTTTCACTTTTCTGCTATCCACAAAGAAACGGCTCAGCCGACGTCGGACAAAACTGAGAAAAGATAATCCACATCGAAATACATCGATTGGCTTTTAAATTTTTTGAAATCAGTTAGGCGTTTTTAAGCATAAAAAAACGATACTAATTTTTGGAAACTTTGACAATTCTTAAAATTAAACGACTTGTCGTGGGGCCGTAATATTTTAGTATGATCTATAAGACTATGGTATCTACCGTCAGAAAAAAATCATAAAAATCGTCGAAAAAAAAATTATTAACACTTTATTACAAGAAAACGGCCTGGCCGATCTGTACTAAAACCTACTCAGCACGATTCGTATCGTTTGCCAATATCTTTCGAACGGTTTTTAAATTATCAACATCGATTCAGAATTGCAGGCTAAACGTGCACGAAAATGTTTTCATTTTCTGCTATTTACAAAGAAACTGCTCTGCCGATCATCGCAAAAAATTCACAAACAATGGTCCTTATCGAGATACATACAAATTTTTGAAATCGGTCCAGCCGTTTTTGAGACAACTTCGATTTACGACAAAAAATCTGTTCACACACACACACACATACTGTTTCCAAATTTGGTCTCATTCGATTATTCAGAATGGCTTGAACCGTCGAGAAAACATAAAATTAGCAAATCGGATTTTTTTATGAAAACATAAACATCTCCTTCGGGAAGTTAATTATTAAAGTACAATAATAAACAAATAAAATTATAGAGAAATATGAAAAAAAAAATCATAATGCGCTTGTTTTGTGTTCTGAAGAATAAATATATAATACAATACTAAATCCGTTCCATACCTTCTGTCCATATCTCGACTTCATCGTCAAGTGTAAATCTCTAAATTTGCTGTAACGTCTCAACAAACTCCATGATTCAGTTTCAGTGTAAATGCGGATTTCATATTCCACGTGTGTTTTCTTTCTAGCGCCGCGAATGACAAAACCTGTAACGCTTATTACATTTCTGTCACCACCTATAAAATATATTTAAAAAATCAAAAAACATATATTTTGATTTGAACAAAAGCAGGAGATAATTTTAATACCTTCGCCATTGAACGCTGGCATTGTTCGTGATAAACTCAACGCGAACGGCGAAGAACAATCTTCTCCTTGGCCCTGAATAAATTAAATGAATAATGGTTAAAATTAAAGTTAACGGTAAAGATAGAATTGCAAAATTCTGATGAAGCATGCAACCAGTATGTAACCAGGCTTGCACCTAATGTAAGCAGATACAAAAAAAAATGCCAATTAAAATCGATTATTACTAGATTTATAAGTTGTTTATCAATGTTCAAATCGGACTCACCATATAGTAAACGCTTGTATATTGTAAAGAATTCGCATCATTTTGCAAAGTATCAAGATTAGAATCCTCTATATAATTGCTACAAGTATCAACATCACTTGATCCATCACTTGTCGAGCAGTCAACATTTACACGTTCATTTATATCGCCATTCGTATATACGTCTTGAAGATATTTTTCTAGCTGAATTTTCTGTCTTTGCAGGTCATGTAATATCTATAATTGATAACATAAAAATACTTAAATTCGAATTCAGTACTGTGATAGAAGAGAAAGTCAATCATAAACTTTATCCATTAATTACAACTCAAAATCTAAAGAGTGAAATTAAAAATTCTTTAAATATCAAACTAAAGTAGAAGCAGCTATCAATTACAATAAATATAAAGAGAGACCTACAAATTAAAATAAATTATTAAAATAAATACCTGGACAATAGTTACGTAAAAAAGAAAAATGCAAAGTAATTAAAGAAATAAATAAAAATTTAAAACTATAAAAAAGTTATATATTTATAATCTATACCAACCGCAATCTGCTTATCTAAAGCTTCTTTCGAATTCTGAGCTTCCAAAATTCTCATAATAATCATTTTTTGTCTTGCTATTTTATGTTGTATTCTTTGCATAGTTCTTAAAGGCACTGCAGTTTTATTGTTCATAGTATTTGATTTACAATTATTAATTTCTATATCTTCTGTCAAACTTATTTCTGAAGGCACACTTGATATTTCATTACTCGATATATTTATAGTGTTAAAATTATTTGTCGGTGTCTCTTTATTTAAATGGCAGTGAAGGGGATCGTCATAGACCAAATTTTTGTTTGAAGCATTTTTAGCCTGTTTTGTATTGGGCTGGAAATTAACATTAATCAATCTATCATTTAAAAAAAAATTAAACTGTTTAATTTAAACAAACAAAAAATTACTTAATGATTGCGAAATTTGAGATAGTAAATGATGCAAAATTATACAAATAAAAAACTGAACATGATATATTAGAGACCATTACCTCGCAATTGTCTTTTACTTTATCACATTTTTTGTTATCCATATTAGCTTCTTTGTCGGTTGAGCAATCTGTTAAGAAAAAATCGTTTCTAATTATTGTTAGGCAGTATAACAATATTATAAAATATTAAGAATGAAACATAAAATATACAGTAACAATAAATTTAATTATATAAAAAAATAAAATATAGATATTTGAATAAACGTTGATAAATTAAATCCGAAGTAACATAATATAATCATGAATTGTTTTACTAATTTGGATTAAATATATCACATAAAATATATTAATTATGGTTAATTAGTAGTTACCAGAATCAGCAGTATGATACGTATCAGATGTCTTCAAAGGACTAACAATACAAGAAGGATTCGCTGAGGACGAGGTGTTGCTGAGCTCAGTAGAGTTTGCTAATGAATTCAGAGGATGTCTTATTGGTAAAGACAACCTTTTTAAAAGAAACATGAAACAATATAATAATTCAGTCATAAAATGTGAAAGATATGATAATGAAAGTATAACTTACGACATTTTCCTTTTCAATAAATCATCAGCCTGTTCACTATTGGTCTCTTGTATAAACTTGTTAGAATCAATATTTGGAGGTTCTGATAATTTATTTTGTTCTTCGTTAATATCAATTTGCTGTTGTTTCAAATCTTCTAATTTCGAATCAATATCATTCAATTTCGACATATGCTTGTTCAAATCCGAATTTTGAGACCTTAAAGATGTTTCCAGTGCATTGACTTCATGTTGCTATAAAAAAGAAATTAAACATGTATTAAATATTGACTATATTATCACTAATCAAGTGTATTTTGTTACACTGACCTGGTTTGCAATATTTCGGTGAACACTTGCTTCTTCAGACATTCGCATCAAAGCAGAAACACATTCGTCTAATGTGTGAGGAGTGTCTGAATCCAAATCCTCGCATTCTGAAGATGTCTAAAACCATTAAATTCCGTAGATATTGATATATTCATATTTATATATACATTATATACAATACATATACTATTTTTAATCAGATTTTAATCCCTTAATTAATTTATTGAATTTTAATCATAGTTCTCAAAAGCAATATTTCAATTGAAATTATAGTGAATGAATAGCAATCAAATAGGCTTCGATCCGGTTCAAAAATGTTTCAGCTCAAATCATATCAATAAATAAACCAGAATAACTTAAGTTATATAACATAAAATGGTAAGTAAACCAAATAAAAATAAAATATATAACATATACCTTGTTATTATTTTTCATGATTTTCTTTAATTCAGTCTGAATATAATCCATAAGAGCACTTTTTTTCAACTCCAAATTTTCTGAAAGATCTTTCATGTTTGACGAAACTTGTTTTACCTTTTGATTAAAATAAAAAGAAACAAACCAAAAATAAAATAAATCAATAATGAAACATAACAAATAAATAAACAAACAAAGAACATGAACATGCAGAATAAACTAATTTTGAAATGAATCTCTTGAACACAATGAAAAAACTTTGAAATAAGAGTCAATTCATTGAATAAGCATATATGAGCTGAAAAGCATCTATGAGCTAAGAATCAAATGTAAAAACTCACCAAATCATTAGTATCTCCCCGTTCAGCTAATAATTCTTCGGTTTGTCTTTTAATTTCTGTTTCCTTGCTGAGCAACATTGACTTGCTTTCATTTTGTATTCGTTCTAATCTTTGCCAGTCTTCTGCAAGTTTCATACATTGAGCTCTGTAAGCCAATTCCATTTCTTCTCGTACCTGTTATTATCGCAATAATATAATTATTGCTGTTTGAATCAACTTTTATCAATTTATAAATTATTTAAATTAAATTAGAATATGATAATGATTACATTAATATAAATAAACTTGTAAAGAAGATAGTAAAGATGATTACCAATTGTAATTGTTTTTGAGCGGTTTCCAGTTCTTCAAGTTTTTTCTTTTGTTCTTCTTTCCAACCAAGCTCTCTTTGAGTTTGCTGCTTTTCAAAACTATTCTTTTCCTTTTGTAATTCCGAGCGTTGCTGTTCCAAAACTCCTTCATCTCTTAAATAGAAAACAATTAAAATATAGTAACATTCATAACGTGTTAATCAAAGTTATACATGTAATAAATAAGTACCCATTAGATAATAAATTCTCGGAGGACGCAGCCAGATCTGATGTAGACCAGCTAAGAAGCGAAAGCCGCGATAGATTTAACCTTGATTTACTTCCACCTTGTCTAAGTTTAGCTGCTTCTACAGGATCGTTATAACGAAACATGTTCGTACGGCCTAGCAGCAAAATACAACCTGGAAATATAAAAAATAAGAACCATAACATTAAAAAATATTAGTAAAGAGCATATTTTGAATTTGGTATACACAATATGGTTAGTAAGATCATAGTTTTATGAAACTAATTAGTTTAAAAAATAAAATACTAAGAGAATTTTTACCTTGACTTAGTCTAGTCGATTTCTCTATAAGCACTGTATTGAGCCAGCACTGTGCACCCTCTTTTGGATGAATTACTGCAACACCTTTATTCAGTGTAATACTGCAATGATTAGGTAGAACATCTGGGCCATTCAGAACAATATCTTGAGTTGTTGTTGCTTCATCTGATCCTATTAAAGTTTCTCCTTCCTAGAAAATTATTGTTAGAACTTTTACAAAACCTACATTAGTCTAAAACAGTGGAAAAATACTTATAGTATTATTTTTGTATAAATTTTAGAGTAAGGTAACACAACTAGAAAAAGTATTCTTATAAATAATTCTAAAATTACCTTCAAGTGATACAAAGTAACACCTGTACTGAGTAAATCATCATCAATGCCAACAAGATGCGGTATGTCGCTGTCCAGAACCACACCCAAACCAGCTTTGCGTAGTCCCAAAGCAGTCTGCTCATGTAAAATTTGTTGAGTTTCTCGCCATTTTTCAGTCCATTCTTCAGTAAGAACTTTTTCCTGTGCTTCCTTTTGATGCAAAGCAGCTAATACTTGTGGTTCAGATAGCAAACTCTGTAATAGATATCATTGATACATTATTATATATTAATGAAATCTTTTAATTGAATATAATAGAATTGAATCAATTTACTTACTGTATCCGACATCATTGACTTCAATTTACTAATTTCTTCTCTAAGTTCTCGGATTAATTTAACATTTGGATCTTCATTAATTGTAGGTTTATTAATAATATTCTTAGCTCTATTAGCATATCTTAATGTACTCAAAGTTTCTCCATAATTACAATCAGCTGGTGATATTGCTGCAATCATTATAGTTTTTGAATTACCACCGAGGCTGTCTTTAAGCAGCCAAGTAAGCACTGAATCTCGGTATGGTATGAATGTTTTAGATTTGCTAGATGATGTTTGTGTTGAAGAAGATAATTCAGCTAAAGCTGAAATAACAGATCCCAACGTAACCAAAGATTTATTTATATGAGCCCCTTCTTTTAGACGCTGACCAGTTGCTCCAGAAGAGTCAGCTCTTTCACTAAATAAACAAAATAAAAAGAATTTGTCAAATGCTTATTATTTCATTTCTAGTGCATATAATAAACCTTACCTTCCAGCTAAATCAACAAGATGTACTTTAGAAACGGTTTCACTTGGCATATCATTACTGTAACCAGCTTGAACAAATGTAACAGTAAAAATGGCATGACTTCTACTTGATACATCATTCATATTGGTGGAAGCTGTTGTTCTATGTGAATTACCTCTAAGCATACACTCCTAATAAATAATTTGGTATATTTAGTAATTATTGAAATTTCTATTAGTTGGAATTTTGTTGGAAAATACATGATAGATGTCAATCTCATTAGAATTTGAGTGAGTCTAATTAAGAATAAGTAAGTAAGCTGTATTATTAATTAAAAATTTACTTGAATTCCTCCATAATCAGAAACTAGATGTGATGATAAATCTTGAACATAAGGACCACTTTTTGGATGTTCACGAACCTTTAAACTATGTCCGGAATCAGTACTATAAAGAAATAAAGTATAAAAAATTGTATTGACATACTGCAAATAAGTTAACATACCTCAAAAGATCTTTTACACGTTCATTGTATATTTCCAAATAGCTTACTTCTGTACGATAACTTGCACCTTGTTCTTTACCAGTGAGCATTCGACTGAATAAATTCTTGCAGATTCTAGGTATTAAGCCCTGGCAATCCTTTTTAAATACATAAATATAAAAATTAATTAAGATGCATGTTTAAAGGTGAGTACATATTAATAAAAACGTTATGTATAAAAAGATTCTCACCGGTGTCCCCATCATGGTAAAAGTTTTACCACTTCCAGTTTGGCCATAAGCAAAAACACAAGCGTTATAGCCTTCAAATGCACTATCAACTACATCATTTCCTAGGTCAGAGTATACCTTAAAAATAACAAGCAAACTCGATAATAGAGTTTAAACTTTGAAAATAAATTAATAAATAAATGCAAATAACATATTCTTGTAATTCCGGCTATTAATAATGTTTACATTTTCTATGTATTTTTCATTATAAAAATAACTTACTTGTTCCTGTGATGCAAAATTTTCATCAGTATTATTGTGTGACCAGTATGAGTAATCAAATGTAAAGTCCTTATATTGATCTTTTTCATCATTAAGTTGTCGTGTTGAAGAAACCTAATTAACAAGATCTTCAATTAGTAAGAATGTTCTAATTGAATGGTAAATTTATAATCATTTGTATACTTGTGGGTACAAACAAACTTTATATATAATATAGACATAAATAAATAATAAAAAATACAATTACCTGAAGTAATATATCAGGAAAAAAATAATTTTAAGGTAAAATTATTGTGCAAGACAAAATGTAGTGATATTTATAAAATTGCAAGTAATAAATAATAATACCTTATTCAATAGTCTGGTCTTTTTTCCGTCCATTTTTATTATAAGTTTTGATTCCATAGCAATCTCCCTGTAAATGTTATCAGTTTCGTAATAATATGCAACTTTTTGGGGAATTAATTATTATTACCTTTGATTAAAGGGGCGAACCCTAACTGCTACTTTTAACGACGCCATTATTTCTTGCAATTTAATGACACAAAGCAACCAATATTTATTTTAACAAATAAAACTAACAAAATAAGGTAAAAATAAATATTTTCTACAATATGTACATCTAAACATTTTTTTATATAAACTTTTACACCGCACTATAATTACTCATATGTACTGTGTTTGATTAAACACTTGAGATATGAATTTCACTTAAATCTATTAAACATTAAAAATTTAATTAATCATTGCACAAATAACAATCTATTATTGTATTTGACATTTAGTTTCAACATCTGTCAACTTATTGTCACAGTCATAGGACAGATGGGACAGATAGTCCACCATAGACAAAGTTTTATAAGATGAGTACTACATTTTTTTCCCGTCTACTAACTACGGTATCTATGGACAAAAAAGTATTACCAACTGTGATTTTAATTTGAACGTTATTTCAAAACTGACAAGTGCTTCAAAACTGTGAGTGCTCAAACTTAATTAACCTAACAATAATTTCTTGCGATAATTTAACCTTCGATGAAAGAAGTATATGTATGTAATACAGATGGGCTTATTATATCCATATTATATCCGAAGTCGGATCGACTCGGATTTGACTCCGCTTCAGGGAGGAGTTATATCCGCTTAACAACTCCACGACTCCGACAACTTTGAAATCGAAATACTCGACACAAATGTGTTCTATAATGCGTTGATTGAAAATAATTGATTTTTTTGATTAATTTTATATAAAAATAATGTAGTAAGCTTTGTAATAAAAGCAAAACATTTATCACAAAATATTTTCACCAAATAATAATACTTCTGCTTTCTAATTTTTTCTTCTGCTATGTCCATTCGAGAATTAATATTATATCGGATAGTTCGATTAGCATATTCTATAATTGTGTAAAAGTAAAAACTTAATACTATATATTTTTTGCTGCAAATACTATTGACGTCACTATGGAAAGACCAGATTAAATGTATTTTGTTTCGCGTATTTTTCGGTATGTATATTCCTGATCGCCGTCATTCACGGCCAAAGATTGTCGTTGTTAGAAATATGACCCCTTACTATTCAATAAATTATACATTGGAGCTATTCACACTTGAACACAATTTCATTGATCTGTATATTTGATGTAATATTTTTGTATTTTCTGAAAAAAAACATATACCTAAAAGGTCATAAAACTGCCTGCGAGACGAGAAAGCGACAGCTTCTTTCCCAAAGCAAAAACGCACGAACAGATTTAGTACCAGCTTAGGGAAGTCGGATATGACAAATCCGGTGAGACTACTCCACTCGAATTCACTCCGAGGCAAGAGTTGTATCGGAGTGATAACTCCGGAGTGAGTTACCCATCTCTAGTATGTAATATAATTACAATTCACTTTCTGTTTTGTGGTTTTGTGTTTGTTCAATCAAAAAAGATTGGAAAATGGAACCCACCTACCGCAGTAAGTATATTTTTTCATCTAATGCAAATGATTTAATCCTTATCTTAATCCTTATAAATTATTAAGTAACTAATTTGTAAAGATCGAGACGGTTTACTTTCTAGATAATTATATCATGGTATAGTTAGATAATTATATCATAGTATATAATTGATGAAGTAGTCTTTTTGTTTTTACACACGTGCACTCTTTTTTGTCCGTTTCTTGCAGAGATAATCTTAGGATTTTTCCATCTTCTTACTTCAAATTTTTAGATGGTAACCATCGATAAAAATATATATGATGGTAACCAAATGGTTAATCCATTCGTACTTGATGATTTTATTTTTAGAATTCATCTAATAGGGCTGACTGCATGTTTATTGGTGTAGGAATCAGCGGATTAAGGGCTGTTTTCACTTGGAAACATATTGCTATCTATACTTCCAAGTGAAAATCGTTTTCAATGCTGCCTGATAACAGGCTGCTCGAAGAGGGTATCGAATCCGGGACCTCTGAATCAAGTCCCGTCGCTCTTAGCCGCTTACCTACAAGCGAGCCCATTCAATGCAAATGGCGTCAATAATAAGGTTACTCCATAAACAGATAAACCCATAACATTTTATAACGATGCTGAAAATTCATCTAAATGCAATATATAACATAAGTGTTTTAATTAATTGCTTATTCAAATATTTTGTATTTCTTTTATATAGTTATATAAGTTCTCTACATTGTATTCTCAATAATTAATATAATATTCTACTTAAGTACTTATATATTAATACTTTTAATATTTAATTAATATATTCACAGCTTACACTCGTCCGCCAAAATAAAATCATTTTTATTACTCATTTTAAAAACAATCATAATTTCAATGCAATACAATTCCAAATTAAAATACTGATAATTGCATCTGATTTTATTTTAGTTAAAATTAAAAATTATAAAGCATCAGTAAATAATTCTTAACAGTTGAGCTACTAGATTTTGACCAATTGAACCTAATATAAATTAAAAATCCAATGATTTTTATAAATTTATATACTTTTTAATACATAATCAATTATGTTTATTTCTTTAAATATAATAATTATTTTATGACATGTAAGCATAGAATATTAAGATCGCGATCTTTTGATATAAGATCGTCATGAACTTGATGACTAGTATTTTGTTTGATTACTTTTTTATATTTTGCAAAAAAAAATCGGTTTATATAATATAAAACAAGTTATATATGTATATAAAATACACATAATTATGTATATATACATAATTAATTCAAGTATTTTTATGTATAATAGACCTATATAAATAGCTCAATTGTCAGTATTCGTATATAAAAAGATTTTAACATCTTTTCTTCGGCACAACTCTTAATTAAATATAATTATTATTCATATGTACAATTTATCCGGTTATGCGGTTTAATAATTTTTATATGTAAGAGATGAATAAAAGAAAAATTATAATTTTTATTTTTGGTTCGTTATATTAATAATAACAACAGTGTCCTAGTGCTTGATTATTATTTATTTTAAATTATTTATCAATAAATTAAATACTTTAATCGAATACACTGAATTATAATTTGCAGTTCAAACAAATTTAATACTCTCCAAAGCTATTTACAAAGCGCTTTTTCAATAATAGGCATATAATATAAATTTGTATGATTATCAAAAATATTTTCTACATAATTTTACATAATAGGCTTAAATTTGATACGCAATAAATATGAAATTAATATCACATATATTTGGCTGCTAATATTACTGTTTGAGCAATGAGCACATAAATAGTATTTCATATGTATGAAGCAATTGTTAAAATAAACCAAAACTAATTATTGTTGTTAAACAATAAATAGCAAAACATAAAGATATAGATATAATAAATAAATATGCTAACAATAACTACTTAAGCATGGATAGAAATCATAATTTCATATAATTCACAAAGAACTATTTTCTATCGTCAGTTCTTACATAGTTACTATGAACTAATATTTATTATTAACGTATAAATATTAATATAATAGCTAGTCTTTCTGTTATTTAAATATTACAGCTATTCGTAATAATTAGGAATTTTTGATCCGCGTCAGCTATATTTATCTAACCAGAAATTATCACAAAATCAATGATAAATTATCTTTAACTCTATATAATTAATTTTAATTGGGACAAGATGAGATTCACTACAGGTACCTATTTGGAGAATAGCATCTCATATTAATAAAAAAAAATGCAATTTTTGAAAATAAATGAAGCGTAAACTAGATAATTTTCAATTGAAGTGGTTGATTTTTTAATTGAAAAATAGAACAACCCTAAAAATAATGAAATACTTTGAGAAATATATGTGTCTTCAAAACTCCGTATTTTTTAAACGAATGCAATCAAATTAAATAAAATATATATTTATAAATTCAATGATGTATTATTTCTAATTGCTCGTAAATATCATTGCTTCAGTAAAAACTAAACTCTATTTTACGCTTCATTTTTTAAAAAACGATAATAATTCAGTATCAATCATATCAATGTATGCGCGACACTAATTATATATAAAAATATTAGTTATAAACCCATAGGTACGATCGTATCCAAAATCAATCCATTTCTATAATTTCTTAATGAAAATAATAACTTTGATATAAGTATAAATATTATAATATTATACAATATGGGATATTTTTAGGAACTCTAAAAATTCTACTTACTTTTTGGTATCAGTTTAGCTGTATAGATAATAATCTTCTATACTACGACCTGTATAAATATTTCATTAGAAATGCACTAGTTGTGTTTGTTATCCATAACTAATTTATATATCTAAGTTGACGATGTGCGTATTGTCTATTTCAGATTTTTTGGTGATAACTATTTATTGCGAACTTGCTGAATTCGGTGCTATATCCCTGATACATTTATCTGACATGATTGTGAGAATTTGATCAAATTTCGAGTGCCTTTCTTCTGCACTCAAAGTAGCTCCTTTGCTACCCCAGAGGAACTTCTGATGAAACTCAGTCCTGGGAAAAATGAAAAGGTAAGTTGTATAAAATCTTTACATTATTAATTTATGCAGTTAAAAACTGCATGTGCAGCTAGAAGCTTTATTAGGTTTTGTTATAATTTATCGTTTATCTTACCTGAAAGCGTCACAAGAGATGTCTTCTTCGGCGATTTCTTGTAGGACGCTGTTAGCAATTCGCCTAAAAGTGGCAACACTAGGCGCAAAAGATCTTGCAGCCTGCATGTGCTGAATTAAGGTGGTTAATCCAAAATCTGTAGAATTTTGTTCCCAACTAGCTAAGCAGCTATTCGCAAAACCAGTACTATAATCGCAACTGAAAAATAGTAAAATGTCTATTCTCTATATTCTATAAATCATTTGAAAATTAAATAAATTATAGATATCAATTTCTAGTTAAATTCAATTGGGTTTAACTTTTACCTTGAAAATCATCGAGATCGCGTTCCATCAACAGTGCGATAGGCAGTACATGAGGTATTGTCGTATTGGGAGCCTGAGGATTATGGCCTTCATTCATTGCTTTTAATGTAGGCCTCAATTTAGCTTCAAATTGAAAGGCACTGTCCGTATGTCTTTGTCTCAGAATATGCCATGATTTTCTAATTTTTGAATCTAGAAAAATAATAAAAACTATCATTAATTAAAGCCAATATCGGATAAAAAAATATGGTATATTTCTTGATAGTT